AAGCATTTCAAGAAAATATGTATGAAGATTTCAAGAATAACAAAGAGAAACGCAGCAGCTGTTAAGAAAATTACTCACTAAAACATTTAAAAGATCCACGGATAAAACAGCAAAAGATTCACCTGGCTTATATCAGATGTAGAGAGCAACGCAGCCGCTTCTTGGGCGAATGAACCCTTCCTGACTCGCCTTGATCCTGCGGTTGTTGACACCTTCCAAACTTCCTGGGAGACAAAATACAAGCACGAGTCGTAACTGCTTCGAACCAAGCTATATCTCATTAGCTAGCTGATAAGTAAAATGGATAAAGAAACAAACCTCTCTTCTCTGGGATTGTTGCTCCTCTCCTGGGAAGATATACTCCAACATCATTGTGTACATTGTTTCTGTCAAATGGATTTTTAGAGGATAGATTTCGACCTGTCAAGCAAACTCCACATAAGTAATAGTATATATACTAAACTTCTAACTTGCTGGAAAACTTTTCTAAGCTCAAGCTCTTGACTCTTTAGTCTCATATTATTAGTTTCATTAGAAGATATAAGATAAAGGACGATTTGCCTGGAAAAGTTCATAAGGAGCCTGTCCGTCTTTTGGGATTCCTTGCCTTGCATCTACCTGTAACATCACTTTCCTGTATCCAAATCAATACAACTCTCAGATTTGCAGCCGTGATGCGGTAAATCTTTTTGTTCTCCACAGTGACTTTCTACAGCTAACAAAAATTACAAATGGCTCCACATAGTAGTGTTACCGATTGCAAGCATACAACCATTAACGAATTATGATATCTCTAAGTCCCCAAAGATGTGTAAACTAAAAACTTCATAACTAGTATCAGACTCGCGCAAATATAGGAACTCACTTGCCCCATTCCGGAGGAGGATTCCACGCTGACAGAACAGTATCAGACTTGGCATTAGGCAAACAGTTCCGCAGGACAAAGTATCTTGTTGTGAACTGGGCAATACCAATATCTCTGTAGTCCCGGTTAAAATCATAAACCTGCAAGCAATGTGAAACATCTTAGGGACTTTAAAAGAGACGAGTTTAAATACAACACCCAAGGCTGACAAGTAACAAACGTAAATTGAAGATAAGTTATGTTCAATGATTAGTTGTTACTAATAAAGATCCAGAAAAAAAATCGTTTCATTTTAATTATACGGATAGAGATGTAACGAATGAACAAAAAGCTCGACCGGCCATCCCAAGGTACTAAGTCTATAATACCGAAGGACTTACCATATTGTCTATTTCAACCTCGGCGAATGTTTTGCCATCTAAAAGCATAGACCAGACGACTTTGTTGATTTGTAAGGAAATGCGCATGGCAGAGGATGGTCTTTTGTTCTTATCTTTTTCCAACAACCTTAGCTCTGCAGCATTCTTCACAGAAATCCGCAGTGTTGTATACGCTGTCTTCCTCGATTGTTGCACATTTAGATACGATTTCCTCAGTCCCTCCACCTACATATGAGAGATACTTAGTTTACTAGATATCCTTTGATGCGGACGAATTTTTAGTTTACTTCTTATACAACTTTTTTGCTCACCAGTTTTGGCCTCCCACCAGTGATCATCCAGAAATCGCTTTCCTTTTCGAGACTTACGCTTCCTGAGTTACTTTCGTTCTGCGTCAATTTTCTGATATCATCAACAAGCAACATCCTATCCCTCTCTTTATATTCAAGTTCGATTTTCGCGAGTTCCACTTCCTCAACACCATCAGGAACTACCTCATCAATTTCCTCTTCAACTTCATCATCTTCTTCACCGGAGAGTTTCAAACTATCGTTCTGAGGCCTGAATTTTCATATGCATTTGTAGTAATAAAGATATAGTCAGGAAGCTACATTTCAACCACAAAAAGAAGTTAAATTCTTCTACAAAGAAGAAAATTCAGCAAGTGTTGATAACTTGCACGCAGCTACACTTACTTTGGTAACCTTGCAAACAAAAGATTGGACAAAACATCCAACATAACTTGAAACTGACGTGATGTCATCGACGCTGTAATATTACGAGAATTGAAAGTAAGCTCTTTCAGTGGCTTCACCTGTAGCATATAATGGTAACATAAGTCTCGCATTCAAACAATGTTACAAAAGAAAAATGAAAAATATGCTTCATAGGTAATGCTGACTGCTGAGTGCAAGAGATCTTATTTACCTTCCAATCTGGAGTCACACCTTTGTGCCTGGTGTATTGAAAGTACATGTCACACGGCATAAAAACTCTTTCAAGCAGTGCGCCAGTACGCTTTGCCTTTGAGGAGCTTCTTTTAATCTTTGGGAGCCATTGCACACCAGCTCCTGGATCGACATCCGTAGGTGCGACATGAGCTTGTACATGCTCCAACATCATGGACACTTCCATGCGTGTCCATGTCATGTCAGTGCCATTTTCAGGACTTTGATCATTCTCATTCTGAACTGCCTTCTCAATCATTTCATACCCAACATGAACAACTGAGTGAAATGATCTTGCCAAAACACGGCCACTAGCAGCAGCGAGCAAAAACCTACCCTGGTAGATGAAAAATAATGATGGCAATGAAACAACACCGCAAGGTATCTGGAAACATTTACAGATACAAAATCTACTCTAGAGTTTGGATTCATATATTTTGCAGGCATATTCTCTTTTTTTCAAGAAATGGTGCATAATAACTTTAATGAGTAATTCAAATTGACATGTATTCTTCTGAATTTCAAAGGCATGCCGGAAGTAATAGTTTGATCTATACTTACATTTACGTCTTCTGAATGGAGATTGAATTGTGGCTCAATAACATTCACCATAAAATGCCGAGTTCCTTCTTCCTCTGAACCATTTGAATTGCCAGTCTTTGTGGCTCCTGCATCGAGACAGATAAGTAGGATGAAGCACAAGTGTACGAAAAGTAAATTTGCTTGCTACAAATAAGGTAAAGAACATGGTGCATAGGATTAAAACAAGAACCAAATTCAGATTATAACTTCCACTAGCTTAAGATACAACGCATGATAGCCTCAAATAGACATATTAATGGGAGCCAGCAAGACTTACCAATTGGGAAAGATGCAAAGTTCTCTGTTTTAATTGGTTCTGATGAAGGTGAAAGAACTTCCACAGGCTCCTTAGATTGGGTAGTGGGGTTTCCATTGCCTGTGGAAGGCGGTTTAGTCGGGTCATCTTGAGGTACTTCTAATTCAGATTGCTTCTGGCTGCCCTCAAGTAACTTTCTCTGAGCATACTGACGTGATGGGGAAGGCTTGGGATGTTGAAATGCCTTAGACATCCCAGCAAAAAAGGACAAAACAGCATCTCTGTTTTCTATGTTCCACAGTAGTTTAAGTCCATAAACAAAAATACGCTGACAATTGTCCGCTATCACGACATTATATCCATCATCATCGCTCGGATCTGAATGTGAATTCTCCTCACTATCATTTTCTCGCTCATTTGTAGGTTTTGCATCTACTTTTTCGCGGTATATTTTTCCTTCTTCTTTCCATACCATCATTCTTTCAGGGTCAGCCTTAGGAGCTTGCCTCCTGATTGTGAAATAATCTGACGAAAACAGAAAGCCGTCGTCAGGATGCTTGTCGGTGCAATCACTGACAGAACTCCCTTTTTCAGGAGTGACTCTATTCGTTGATCCAGATTGTGAACTTGTTCGCATAACCTGAGCTGGCTTCGAGCAATGCTGATCCCTTTTTAAATAGGCTTTAGGCACATGAAGGTCTATTCCCTGGTACACTGGATCAAGAGTTTCACGCTTGCAATCAAAAGTGAACTCCTGGTTACCACGACTGAAGCACATTTCATATTTCAGCTTGGTCATATTAAATGTCAAGCCTCTTGCAGGATTGTCAGAGTCCAGTGTCATATGCTTTATACATATAGGTGCAACATCAATGCGGAGCATATATTCTGTCATCACTCTGTCTAGGGACAAATTCCCTGATCTTGGGATTCTTGGAACTCCAAAGCGAGGCCACCGCGAAAAAGTTCTAAGTTTGTAAGGAGGAAGATAATTCATGTTCCAGAATCTGATCAACCATGCCAAATCATGAGCACCAATGTTTATTGTAGGTGGGGAAATAGACGGTTTATCACGCTTACACTCGGATGATCCAACTGCAGATACAGATGGGTTATGTCTTAAGGAGAAGTCGAAGCGTAGTGAGAGAGAAGTAGACCTGAAAGGATCATAAATCTTATCACGAGCCTTTCCTTCAACAGGTAAAGCAAACAGATAATGATTTAATGGACTTCCAGACTCGCACTCCCAATCCATCCGGACTTCAAGACTGAAACGTGGAACCTCAAGGAATGGGTAGATTGATGGACAAGTTGGAGAGTTTGGATAATGTCTAGCCAAACTTTCAAAACTGCTCATGTAAATCTTTATGTCCTCGGCAGAGAAGTGCACGCGACCATCTGTTTGCTGGATTTCCACGGAGGACGAGTTCATCTGAAGCTTGTCAAGCTTTTCATAAGGGTCCGGAGTAGCAAGAACAATCCACTTTGTCTCAGAAAAGGACAAGGTTATATTTCCATGGATGTAATTTCTCATTTCATCCCACCATGGTAAACTTTTCTCCTTTTTCGGAGGCAGAACAAGACCAGGACCCTTTAGACTGAGATTAGCTCTGCGAAGAGCCACGGTGAAGGCATAGCTGATATCAGCAAGTACTGGTTCATATCCAATTCCAAAGGAGATCTCTCCTCTCTGGAAATGTAGCGGCAAGTCCATGTATGTTTTCATTGCAGGTGTTGTTCCACCGGCTGAACGAAGCATCTGCACTTTTCTCCATCTTCCTACATACACATCATGGAGTATTTGGGGCTGAAAAGCTGTTGCCTATGTCAAAATAAGAAACAAACAAAAAAGATAAGGAGCGCAAAGTTCCAGTGCATCTACATTTAGCCAAAAAATGTGATGTACAAATGAGCTTAAAAAGAGCATAGGTTTGAATCAAATGGGAAATGAGAAGGGTAGTCTTACCTGCTGAGCCAACACAAGACGGCCTTCGGATTTACCCAAAGTTGTTGAGAGAAGAGGAAATGTGTAATCTCTTAGTTGAACAGCAAGAGTTCCAGTGTTTAACCGAAGATTGAATCCATAGAGCCGCGAAAAAGGTATGTCTTTTTCTTCACATAAAGGATCAAGCTTCTTAACCAATTCTATCATACCAACTTCACCTCCATCAATAGCTGTAAGACTTAGATCCAGATCAGTAACAGACACAGAAAGAAGAGATGTCCTAGAATTGCTCATCTTAAAACCAGACTGAAATCCTTCTTTACAAGCACCTGAACCATCTGAAAGTTTTAAACTTTGACAAGACCTGTAATATGAATCGAACGATTGTTTATATAATTTTTCATTCATCATCTGGATAATGGCAGGATCTCGCAAGTCGATTTCTTCTCCCTCGAAAGAAATATTCTTTTCGCCGTCTGACTCATCTCCCCCACCAGTTTTAGGAACCTGGTTTCCATTGGAAATTAACTCATCAAGGAACTTCGACCTCACGGCTAATTCATGCGCTTCTTTCCTCATAAGATGATAATGCTCATCAAGCCAACCTTGGAGGGGTTCTTCCTCAATATCAAATATTAACTTGCGAATGCAGAATCTTACACGTCCGAATTTCTTTGAGCCAGACTTTTTAGGTGTTGAGCTTACTTCCTTTTTGATAGGAAAAATGAGTCTGTTTTTGGCATTGGTTACAAGCTTTAAAGCCCTCAGCATTTCTTCGACAGCGTCATCAATAGCACGGAGTTGTAGCCTGAAGGGCATGCATATATGTATATCAAGTCCTTGAATTACCCAATCCCATGGAGTTCCTGCTCCTGCTGTCACATTGGACGAAGTGGAAGACATGCTCGGTATTCGCGATATCTGTACCCGACTGCTTTTGAATATCCTACATCCACAAAAACCAAGCATAAACCCTTCTAGGAGTACTCCGATACGCACATTCTCCGAGAAAATCGACTGAATCTGCACCTCAGCCTCCACTCCATCCCCTGCCTCCGCGGATATACTTAACATCTCTACATCAACAGCAAATATAGATTCCTTCTTCTTTTGCTTATCAGCAGAATTCTTCGGACTAGAAGTTGGTTCTTCCTTGTGTTTATCTTCTTGGTTTCTGTCACCATGTTGCTTAAGTTTCTGACATAAGACAAGAGACTTCAAACGCAGACCAAGCTCAACCATTGATATATGCACATCAGGCTCCCATCTCACAGCAATATTAGAGGCACTGAAGAGCGAACAGATTGCAACTTCCTTAACACCGCCATTACGACGTACAAACTTGGCATTTTGGATGTCACAAAGTGTCACTCTTGAAACTGGATGAGGTTCCTCCAAAAACTCCTGGTAGACCGACTTTGCTTTCTCAAAATCTACCTGTGTAGACTGAATCTCCTTGTTTAGAGTAAAGCCGAATTTGAGTAACTCAAACGAAATAATGTACTTCAACTTCTCATGTTCCTTTGGCAGATTAGACATAACGCTTGCGGTTCGAGGTGATCCATCAGCCGAGACACTAATTATAACTCTTCCGCCTTGTGATCCATAATTGACACGTTTAGGATCATCAATCACTGTATTGTCCAGGTTTGAATCTCCAGAGAAATTCACAGAGAAACGTTCAACATTGAGTTTCATGAGTTGAGTCCCTCTGCCCGATGGTTTCGATTTATGTGCCCCTCCTTTGTCTTGTGTGCTCTTCTTATTACTACTAGCACCGGTTAAACTTTTGATGAATGCCTGAATTGACATTGCATTTACTACAAGCCCTTCAAAACTCCTGAAAGAAAATAGCAGACCGATTTCCGATACGTCAACCACCAGTTTTTGTTTACCTTTAGAACCATCATCCTCATCTTTCTTCCCCCATTCCAGTCTCACCTTTCTTAAATTGATTAATGATCCCTTATGTTCATCTAAACCAAAGAGGCTTTCTTTCAAACATCCCTTATGTTCATCTACCATGCATAGATTCATTTCATTGACCTCCATTTGCACACTTGTTCCCCTACTTGACATATTATTTGCAGTGACCAGTAATGAATCTGAGCAGAACTGCAAACACACGTGCAATTAAAATCAGTTTTCTAAATTGAGTACTTGCTAATACAAAATATGCATATGACACAACATAGGACTTCTAAATGAAACACACAAGTTTTGACAACAAGATAGTAGCAAACCGTACGTCGTGTACTTACTTGGTATATAGGAGAACTGCCGGGATTGTATAGCACAACTGTCACATCAGGAGCTGAGGTGAGACATTTCCATACCACTGCCTTAAAACCAGTAGTAGGTTCTGATTTTGCAATGTTAGGTCTTTCCTCTTTGAGAACAATCTTTTTCTTTTTAGACAACTGCAAACGCAGCAACGGCTCAAATCTCATCATTATAACGTTGCACATCATACCTCCCAGCTTAATCTCAACCTCAGTTCTAACAGGGTTAGATTCCTGAGAGCAACACCAAGATCAGGTAATATATCAAATCATGAAAGCCCTTTCTGTTCGAATTACAGTTGCAAGACATATGCAAAACATATATCATAGCAAAAGGAGTATTCGAACATTATATATGCAGTATTTTCTAACCATTTTCGAGTGTAAAAGCAACAGAAGTCTCTAATCAGAGGACTCACTTGCATTGGACAATACACCTTGGAGGAAACCCCGATCTTTGACATCTCCAAGACGGAAACTTCAGATTCTCTAATAAGCTAAAATGAATGTGCAATTTAAAACACAGCATTAGAAGATAGTACATCAAAACGAAAACTTTCGCTGGATTGTAACTAAAAAAACTTCTTGTTTAACATACATGTATCTCCCGGAGTTCCATGACAACATCAAGACATGGCTCTTCCTTGCCATCTTCACTGGATTGAGATTTGGTACTTCTCAACTGAAACCCTGTCATGCTATTCGCGATAGAAAAATCATGTTCTTGATGCACAAATCTGATATCAAGCTTCGACAAATCAAATGATACCTACCACATAAAGTCAAAGGCAGGGGTAAGAACTTTAGCTAATGAATTGACTATATACCATATGCACCAACACTTTTCTTGTAGAAGCAGATATATTAATCTTACATAATTGCTAATTGTAGCTTAAAGAAATGTAACTTTTTAGCCATTTTAATCCAGTGTGGTCGAGAAGACATGCACAGTCATGTAGCCAGAAGAAAATAGAATTTACTGAAACATACTTGCAGTTATCTCAAGCTTAAGAAAAAATTTACTCACTTTCTCAGGGAATTTTGAAGCATGCTTTGCAACCAAAACATTCACTGGTTGCTTTGGAGGTTTTTCTGAAGCTGTGACACCAGAACTTGATCCAATCACTTCATCTGTGGAAGTAGCACTTGTCGAGGTTTTTTTTTTCAAGAGCAGCTTCTCATTGAGGTTACAAACAGTATCGGCTATATCAACTTCAACATTCTTTATACTTGAACTTGATTGTCTGCTCCAAGAAGATCACAAAATATCAACTATAGGTAAGAAATCATATGAGTTCAAGCACAAGAATTTTATCTTTCTCAATAAAAGAACACAATAATCTGCTAAATGTAGGAAGTATGTCAAGCAAAAAGTACCTATTATGACCAAATTCGCAAGAGAAGGAAAGTTTTTCGCAATGAAACGAAGAGTCCTCTGCGATTTTGGAAGATGTCTGCTTATCGAGGACAGTATCTCTGATCATCTCAGGTGAATGAGTGGAAATAACATGTGGTTCACCAATCTGTACAGATATCGGCAACAGGTACAGTTTGATGAAAAAATTCCCGGACCCTCTTTCTTTAGATAAATCAAGCTCTAGCTCCTTGATTTCTGCTCTAGCTTTAGGTGTCTGCAGTTTTACAAAAAACAACGGTTAGTATAATTCTAGAAAGGCCTAATTTTGTTTCACCTAGTTACATTAGTCTCTGAGTTTAACAACAAGTATATTTTCCATAAAGAATATGTTAACAGAAGCACAGAAAGCTAACAGTCATTTGCGAATAAAACGCGAAATAAATCTTGGCTTATGGTCAGTATATGTTACTGCTATATTTTTCACTACAATTGGAGCTAGTACATGACTAACATTCATGCTGGTCACATTAAAATCTAGTTGAACAAGACAGAATGAAAGGGAAATTACCTGAACAACCAAATTAGTCATAGAAACCGAAAAGAATCTACCAACATTAGCGAGTAGCATCAATTTCCCGTTGTTGCCACCAGTAGAGCGCGATTTCCGAGTTTTGGATTTGCGGGGACCTTTCTTCGAGCTGGAAGGTCTAGTAACAATTTTGAGGTCACATATAGAGAAAATAACTTTAGGATCATGGATAAAAGCCTTGGCAAAAAGCTCAACAAGGGATTGGCTTAGACTGGCTTTAAATTCTCCAACGAGTATAGATTCAATAGAACCCTGTA